ACCGTGGTATCCATTGGATAGGGGCCTGGGCCCAGAGAAGATCTGGATGTTGTGGCGAGGAGAGTAATCCTGCCCTGTCGGATGTCGGACCATGGTCATTGTTCAGAATGAGCTGTCACTGGGTCCCATTGGGCCATGTAGGGTCTTGCTTTGTCAGGCTAAAGACGAGCTCGATGTTCAAAGGAGATATTTTCGCTTGCTAAGTCTTAATTCAGCATTTATTCTTGACAAAACAAATTCATGTAACCTTTTATATTTTAAGATTCTAAATGCGTAGAGTATCATCATGTAAATTTTTATATATCATGTTAACGTGGAAAGGTACAATAATTTTACCTTAATAATAATATTTTATTTTATTAGTATTTGCCTGTCGTAGGCTCTTTACTGTTGGCGAACACTGCAATAAAGGAACTGAATTATTGTTTTTAACATGATCTATGGACGAAGGTATTGATGGCTGAAATGGATTTGCTCAGAAACAAATGAAAGTGAACTTTTATTTTTGATTGACTGTACACGTGGATGTGGTGCCTGAGGTTTACCAGACCGACACGTGTACTTTCTGTATGCTGATCTAGCAAACTGAACAGCGAACTTGCGTGCGTATTTATTCAGTGCCAGAACGTGAGGGAACGGATTTTGCATGGGCACTACAAGCAATAGAATGATATTTCATTGTTCCCGTATGACAGCACACTGACTCATTCTCCTATTCTTATGCTCATGTGCCATAACTGAATGTTCTTTATCGCCACAAAGAAAATAAGAACACTAATTTACCAAATCCTACGCCATTCGAACCCACTTTTAATCTCCGCAACACCCCCCCTCCCCCAAATGCAAGTTAGTATTATCATCTCATATGAGACGAGATAGTATGGTGACTATATGAACGGGGTGGATGACCGGAGTTCGATTCCCTGCAGGGACAGAAGTTTCTCTTTACAACCGCACCGAACTCTGCCTTTGGGGTCCTACCTATACGAGCTTTCTCCTAGGTTAAAGCGGCCTGGACATGAAGCTGACCACTTATATCCAATACCGAGGTTAATTATCCATTGAGCTTAAACTCCACTCTACCATACGTCTTCAAGGCTTGGTGCTTAATTAAGTACCAAGGGCAATTTTAACTTTCATATCTGTACTTAATTGAATAAAAATTTTCTTGGATATTATCCATCGTCTAGTAAATATAAAACGTAAAACGACATTTCGGAGATGGGACTCTATCTCCGTCTTCAGGTTCCTACACAGTTGGGCCCACTAGATAGAGCTAATCCCTATCTCCGGACAAAGTAGTGTAGGAACCTGAAGACGGAGATAGAGTCCCATCTCCGAAACGTCGTTTTACGTTTTATATTCACTAGACGATGGATAATATCCAAGAAAATTTTTATTCAATTGACTCTTCACCATCGTCAAGAAGTTTTAGATTTGATATATCTGTACTTAGTTCTTCGTAGCGGTATCTTTCAGTTAAGTTGTAGTCTTTTTGACGTTTCGGAGGTCCTTGTAACCATCTTTGGGCCAATAAAGGCATACAGTGATCACTGAACAGTAATTGAACAAGGAAGTTCAGTACTTCGGGTGGTTGCCGCGGTCATTCCGAGCTATGATTTTGAAACGGTGTGTCCAAGGCTGGCCTGAGAATGATTTTGACAATGTAGAGTCGTATTTCGATCAATTTTAAAACTAATAAAACCTTTGTTTCTCTCTTGTTTCAGCCGTATGCATGCATTTCTTCTTCCTGGCAGCATTCTTTTGGCTGAACACCATGTGCTTCAACATCTGGTGGACATTCAGGTAATATGCAAAATGTACTAGTCCGCCATAAAGATTCATTATTAAGTTTAAGGTTTACATGCGTCATGTTTGTGTTTTTTGATTAAAATATATACTAAAATTCAGGTCAATACACAAAACTTTATTTAGATGTTAAAATTTAAAATTTAAATGTTAAAATTTAAAATTTTAAATTTGCGCCATTCATCACTATAAGGATGTTACAATAGAGCGCTTTCATTTCCTTCACAACATGTTTCGATGTAATACATCATCTTCAGGTGTTGTCTTTTAAAACTATTTTATATTATAATGCAATCTTTCAATATATTCATTGCTACAATGCTACAATAATGAATATATTGAAAGATTGCATTATAATATAAAATAGTTTTAAAAGACAACACCTGAAGATGATGTATTACATCGAAACATGTTGTGAAGGAAATGAAAGCGCTCTATTGTAACATCCTTATAGTGATGAATGGCGCAAATTTAAAATTTAAAATTTTAACATTAAAATTTTAACGTCTAAATAAAGTTTTGTGTATTGACCTGAATTTTAGTATATATTTTAATAAAGATTCAGTTTGAACTGCGGTTATGTTTGTGGGTTGTGTGGACTACGCACTGGGATTTAAAGTACAAGCAAGATTTTCCAAAACAAATTTGAACTGTGAGCCGGAAGTGTGAACAGATTTCTTTGTTGTCCTTATTTCGTGCTGATGTGTGGTTTCGTAGTCGAAAGTCCAGATTTTACTACGAGGTCTCTTATCGATTGTGAACGTGATGAGAACGAGAAACTTTTGTGCAACACGTTGGTCTGTTTTGTATAGGACGATTACATTCGAAAAACAGTAGTTTTAATTTTAAACTTTTATGAGCAGATAAACGTCGAAGAAGTAACTGATGAGGGCGAAATACAGCTCATTCGTTTGCTGATGCCAAGCAGGAAGTCAGTGAATGATGTAGCACAACAAACGAATAGGATTGAAAAGTTTGTACCAGTCAAAATGACGTCTTGAATTTCGCATTGAAGTTTTCTCCGCGTGACGTCCATTTCTGGATTGATGGTCAGTCGGAAACAGGGAAGTTTGTTGATCGAGTTATTACTAAAAGACGATGTTTAGTGGAGACTTTTTATGCGCGTGTAAAACCTGAGGAGGACCACGAAACCCCACATTCTGGTTTGAAATTGGGGTTTGGCACGTGTATCCGAGTGTTACCAGCTACTCTGTGAAACTTTATGCATTAGATCCTGTCCAGAGAAGACATTTCCAAACTGCTTGACAAGCAATAGCCCATTCTGTGCTTCGAAATTTATATTTCCAAAAGTAGTTTTACACCATGTTCCACAAGTCATACCCCGTCTGGAAGGAATGGGTTATCGGGACACATCACTTTAAAAATAGGTTAGGTTAGTTGTCATTTATTGAAATAAAATATAATAACTTTCAAGTATATGTCATTTATCCACACACATTAACCTAACCTAAACTAACCAACCTAACCTAACCTAAACTAAACTTACCTAAACCAACCTAACCTAAACTAAACTAAACTAATCTAATCTAACCAACCTAACCTAAACTAACATAACCTATTTTTAAAGCGATGTGTCCCGATAACCCACAAGTACCAAAAGTTCATTGAAACGGGCACAAAAGTATTTTTTCTTCTAAAACAAGCGAAGCAGTGCCATTCGTATCAAATGCGTTAAAATGACGACCACGACATTTTGCAATTCCAAAATTGTTTGTGGGATTTGTGAACTTTAGTTTGATGAAATATGAAAAAGCCCCGAAAGAGAGCGGATGCCATCTGAAAATTTCACCGCTCGAAGTAGTTTCAATAACAGACAAGTAGATTGAGAACAAAACGAACAACGTTTTGATGTTTCTGCTCATAATTGAGCTACTTTCTGATGGACGTCGACCGCCTCAAGGAAGAGTTGTCCCCAGCAGCAAGGTTGCACGAGAGGCACGCGGTTGTGAGGTGGTAATGGGTTTGGCCATTGTCAGAGGGATAAGCGAGAAAGGGTTTTTAAGTAGGGATCGGGGCTTTCAGACTTTACCTCCGTTTGTTTAGGCTGACAGGACCAAATTATTTTGTGGTTAGACCGTCGTACTTTCAGAAGTGTTATCAGAGGGACATTGTCTTCTGAGCTTCTTCCAAGAACAGCAGAGCTGTTCAAAGAAATTCACTCACCCCTTGGGTTTTAGGGCTCTGGAGGAATAATATTGAATCATATTGAGAGACGCAAACATATTTGAGGATATTAACAAGGAATACGATGTAATGTAATGATGTTTAATTAGTTTTCATCACTCGTTGAGAAACTAACAGAGAGATTTCCCGCCGTTTATAGAACCTTACAGTTCATGACCATATTAACAAGAGCCTGGCACCAGTCTCTATCCTAAGTGAGATGAATCCAGTACACATTCCAAACCCTATTTATTTAAGATCCATTTTAATATCATCCTTTATATGCCTAGGTCTTTGAAGTGGCCTCTTCCCTTCAGGCTTTCCAACCAAAATTTGTCACGCATTTCTCAGCTCTCCCGTATGTTTTCAATTTTTCATAAAAATTTAAATTTTATAGAAGTTTGCTCAACTTTAGGACTGTATTTTGAATGACAGAATTGCTGATTGCTAATTCGGAGTGTGATCGCACCCAGTGGCATGCGAACACCAAATTTTACGAATACCAATCAGTTAGTATTGAAAATATCGATACAATATATATTAGGTTCTCGTAAGGTATCGGTGGTGGGCTTCAGAGTTGTAATACCAAAACTTATTACATCTGTGGTCCATGAAACGTATGTTGTTGTTATTAATAATTTTGTTGCAGGGATCTGAGACCTACAAGTTTGGACAAGGGGCAGGAGACATTTCGACTGAGACTGTATCAGCTGTATGCCTGGGGAGGACCTCTGCTTATTGCAGGAATAGCTGCCATACTTGACAATCTTCCCGAAGAATCATATTCCTCCTTTCTCAGACCTCGATTTGGTCAAAAGCGATGCTGGTTTTACGGTACGCACTTCCTCACGTGAAACTGTACTTCGAGATTGAGATACGTTAGTGGCAACTTTCCAAAATCGTGCAAGTGCTGCCACCATCGAGAGTGAGCCAAGCACGAACGGGTTGTCAGCAAGAAATGTAGCAGTTGATGCTGACATGATTCTACGAGATAAACGACATTTTTATTGAATACTAAATTCTAAAAGTTACGCAATTTCAAAACCACTTTTCATTTGGTATGGATAATCACGGATTAGTATCTGTCCAGGGATATTCCGATACTCCGTAACATTTCAAATATCCTCATCCCCACCAAAAATAGTTTTCTTGGTGATAATCTTTAACAAGAACATGAAACAGGTTTTTAAAATGAAAACTCTTTCTCTAACTCATTGAAAAATAATCTGTCTTGAAGATAAACAGTTTTTCCATTTTGAAGAACGACATTTTTCCAATATGTCTTTAATTTTAGTTTTGTTTTGAACAAGATAAGGAAGAACGGGGCAATGAAGTGGTAAAGCACAGAAATGTGTAGTAAATTTCATCATCTAAACTTAATATTTACAGGTGGAACCAAGAGAATTATGTAAATAATCCATAATTTAAAAATTAAGAACTTCCTTCTTCAGCAGACTAATTTTACGAGGACTTTTATCTGGTTCATTAAGAGTTAGTTATATTTTCTGGTAGATACATGCAACTTAGGACATACAGTAATTGGTGAGGGCATTCTTTCCCTTTGGTACTGAAATTTTTCATTCTTGTAATGAGCGCATAAACATTCCAGGGGATATGGAGATATTTCCATACTTCTATGGACCAGTTGGCGTGCTGTTGCTGATAAACCTAATACTGTTTGCTGCTACGGCCCATGAGCTGACGTGCGGTCTGTGGAAGAGGGAGGTGGTCAAATCTAACACCGAGAGGTACGAGGCCTTTTCCGTACAGCCGTTACAGTATTATTTTCTGCTATTAAAAAATCTGCGTAATAACCGTAGATGCCTTTTTGTCACTTTATACTTCTTGTGGAACTGTTGTTAAATGGCTTTCTTTTTGCCATAAATTTTAGGTTTGAAATGCGTGTCAAACAATTACTTGTATACTATTATTTTATGTTTCAATTAAATAAAATGTAAATGTGTTCTAGTGAAATTTCATATTTGTGTGTTCTTGTGGGGAAAATAGAGGAACAAAAAATATATCTCAGTCTTAATCTCATTATTATTAAGAGCACATGGTTATGAATTTATCCACCAATGTGATTACCCCTGTTTTTCTTAAGCAGCCCTTAGTCGACGTTCAGTTTGACACGGCCGTTGTAGATGTACCGTTGGGCATTGCACAGCGACAGCTTAATAACTAAACAAATTTTATTTCCAGAGCTACCCTGGGCCGAGTCTGTTTGAAGCTGGTTGTGGTAATGGGACTAACTTGGGTGGCCGATGTGATTTCGTGGGCTGTAGGAGGCCCACATTACATCTGGTATGTGACTGATCTTATGAACGCGCTGCAGGGCGTGTTCATCTTCGCAGTGGCTGGCTGCCAGCCTCAAGTGTGGTCTGCTGTAAACAGACTGTGGTGTCTGCTTCCACAGCGCACTCAGAGGACAAACAGGGGGCACCACCTCTCACTCTATTCGCAGGGCCCGCCATCCCTCGGAGACTCCGTCACAAACAACCACTCGACCAAGACGGCGCACCTCGAGACCCTATGTTAATGAATTGTGCAGCGTGTTCCAGCTAAGGAACTTGACGAGATCGCCTGACATCATAAAATATTGGAAAGGAAAGTTATATATTCGCTTTCTTAATAATTTTTATATATATTAAACTAGATGCTGCTACTTCCTTAAATATTAGATACTGACTGTATAATTCTTAGCTGGGATATGAAATCCACACGTTACAGCGTAATGTTTTACGTTACCACATACACCAAAATTTTTACAAATAATGAAAAGCCAAAAACACCATCCCACCAAGTGAAGTAGAACTATATTTTTTCTGCTTAAGAGAGGACAAGACTGATGCTGCTTTAAGAATGGGGCTGTCTAGATTTTATCCGAGGAAACTTATCACTCTGAAGGAAACGTACATTACCATTCCTTATTTAAATGATAATTTTCCTTTTAAGATTGGCGACAGACAATTTAAAATTATGTCAGTAATTTTTAACAATCGTCAAGCCAATAATGCTTTTCATTGTTCTTGAACAACATTATATACTTATGGTACCTGCACCTTGTCGTGATGGTGGGGCTCGAGTATGTCAGTGACCCCAAGAGCTACTGGTAGGGCCTCCCTTGGTCAAGGGGGTACCCTGGTCCTCCAGGTTGGGGGTTGGTCGCAAGGCTAACAACCTTGCACCGTAAAAACGAAGATGTTTCGAAACCTCGATCAAAGCCTCGGACAGACAGACGTAACAGAGGGCTGAATGGAAGAGGAGAATTGAGGAGGCCATGGACCGAACACGGACCAGAGAGCCATAGAAGAAGAAGAATGTGTTGTTTTAGTAATTTAGAAATTGGATTAGTTGTTCGACAGTCATGTAAAACCATTTTTAAGTAATTAATTTTAGATATATGTAAAACTATGCCATAAATGTTTGCTTTAATATAGTGTGGTCTGCACGTACGTTAGTTTTAATGCCAAATTCTAGTTACATAGACACAGCAATGCAAAACTGTGCCAAACTGCAATTCACATTTTAAGATACATATATATCGGCAGTGAATTTTATTTGGACACACGGAGCAGAAGAGCAGAGACAGATTCCCGGGTCGTGCGTCGGACTTGTGTGTAAAGGGCTACTCTAATTTCGGGATGAAGCAGATACTGTGCAGAAACTGACACAGGCACAATCTTGAATGAAATAACCATCATGCATTGCTGTCATTTTCATTTAATTTTACTTAGTAATCTTTGATGCTGTGTGTCGCACTGTAAACGGCAGAGAAAACTGTACATCTGCTACTTTTTACGTTTTTATACTGTATCTGTACTTGCATTAATGACATTCAATGTGCAAAGTGATCATTTGTAATGTGTTCCTATCATTTTGTGTTACCACTTAGGTTTAACATTAGTTTGATGATTTCTAGCGAGGATTTTGGTGATCTCGGTAGAACTCGAACATTAGTCATGCAGTATTCACGTGTGGAAACTTAATCAGTATTAGTTTTATATAAACTGTATGAAGTGTAATCAGTAAAGTGCCATATGTGGTGTACTATAGCAATTACAGTAATTCAATTGTTTATTATTTTCCGCATGTCCGAGCGCAACTTGAAAAATTCTTTGTAGGAAGAATATGAGAAAGTGTGTAAAATATTTTAAGCTAAGGTCAAGTGTGAGCAGGGCTGAGTAAATCCACTGGCAAGGGTGGGCATTAACGCGGCTCTGACGCGTCTGAATGTGAGGAGGTACAAAACAAGATTCGAGAGAAATACTATCGCCGTCCGAATGATCCGTCACTCCATTAAATTTGTTTTGACGTATGAAGAATGCTAATATCTGCTGACAGTGACTTGCCTCTCCACTCTGAGCAGGTCAGTTGTAATCAATTTGACGACAACATTTATTCACGATGGAATTGCAAAGGTGTGAGAATTGAGGCTTGGCAAGGCATTATCTTTTTGCGATACAGAAAGTCGTGACTGCTTTGCTGCTCAGTTAACAAACACAGACTAACCATGCCAGGAATCTATGCTAACAACTAGAAAATATTGTTGAGGTGTACGCTATGAGATCTTAAGACTGATCATCGAGGGTAAAATCCAAGGAAAAAGATCCGTCGGTAGACCCTGAAACTCCTGGATGAAAGACCTAAGAAAATGGTACGGATGCACCTCGATAGACATCTTCCGAGCGGAAGTCTCGAGGACAGTATTCGCCACGTGGATCGCCAACCTTCGTTCGGAGATGGCGCAATAAGAAGAATAATCAAATATGAGATTTTGTGAGTCAAATTCATGTTGTTATTTGTGGGAGTCCATCCATTTTTAGTAAGTGGGTATCATGCTCATATTTCACTCTTGCTGTGTTGTTTCAGACTTTACTTTTGGTAATAAAGAAATATTCCTTCTGTGGCTTCATCTTGTCACGGACAATGGAGTCTACGTAATGGATGCTTCCAGCTCAGAAGTGGGTTCCTCTTTCATGCAGAGGCTAGTAATTGGAGGTGCGTGCTCCATGCAGAGGTATTCTGCAGTTATTAATAAACCTATCTTATGTAGTATTATCATTCTTTGATATGATCCATTGTCTGAATTTGAAAAAAAATATTGTATAGCAAATAAGAGATCATGTATGGTTTCGGCACAGTAGAAATTGACCTAATTATGATTCTGAGTATTGAATGGATGTTTAATAACAGTTCATAGTTTGATTATGACACCATTATTAGAATAAATTACAACTAGAGTGCTCGGCTCGGAGTCTGGCAATTCTCGGTCAGTCACAGTTAGAAATTCTGATGGACTGCCTGTTGCTTTCAAATTTTAAAAGATTTCTGAATCAAGACGCTGCTATACAAAACAAAAAGTTAACCCTTATAGTGCATAGAGTTTATCTTATTTGAGTTGTCTGTCTGTCTATAACAAGACTGCTAGATGCCTGACTGGATTTTCACGATGTATGAACAATTCTTGGTTATTTAACAAAGCTATTTCAACTGCACACATTCTATACTGCTGGGTAGGCAGATAAATGTAAACGATGAACTGGGAAGGCTGTGGAAGGATTTAAATATAATTTGCTTTGATGAATTGAAGAAAGCCACAAAAGACAGGAACCTAATGCCTAATGAATAAGAAGCAGGAGTTATAATCACTCAACTATGATGTTTGGTTTCATTATATATGATAACAGTACTTATCATTGTTTATTAACCAAATTCATTTTTTTGTCTTTGAACATCATGGCTTATTATTTTATATTAACATGTAGTGTTGCCATTTGCATAAATTAGTTCAAGTGCAAAACTGACTACACCGCTGTTTCTCGAACTTGCTGGTACTTGACATGCCGCAGCAGTCTCAGCAGAGTCGAGGGTGTCACACCTGGAATACGACTTGCAGCTGCTATCTGAAAAAAAAAGTATAAAAGCACATGAGTGATGCTGTGTTTTATTCTCTGTACTGTTAGTGGTTTGAGGATAGTGATTTTCTGGGGAACTTCAAGGACTACTGCAAATATTACTGTATTTCTTAAGCAGAAGCATACATACGGCATATTCTGCTACTTCTAGGGACTTAAAATTTAAAGTAGACTCCAAACCATAAAGGATATCCAGTATTCATCACATCAACAGAGTATTCACTTTGTTACGGGCGAGAGCCTAGGTTCTTGCTTGTGGTTTTCCGGGTTGTGAAATATTAGTCTTCATTTGTACAGTATTTTATTACAAGAAATTAATAAACAATTACATAATGTATTTTGCATAAAATGTGTACTAAAATGTAGAGTATTTTGAATAATTTTAAGAAATTTCTGTAAAATTTCCATTCATATCACTTACTATAAACATAATAGTATCTGGATGAAGTGTAAGTACAACTTACTGTTTGTGGACGAACAGCTGCGAGTTTCTCTTGTTCTTCAAAAGACAAACACAAGGATTTCCTAAACAGTGAAAAAGGGCATTAATCATGAATATGTACATACATAAGTATCAGAGCCATCGGATTAGTAAGGTAACACAAGCACATCTTACACTGTGTAGTCGATGTGGCTCGGTATTCTGAGAGCCTCGTCTCGCTTCACTTCTGTCATCTCTTCCTGCTGCTCAACTAATGCTGCCTCATACAGTGCCTCAACTTTCAAGCGATGGTTCAGATTTCTGTCATCTGCCAGCTCAGTGAATACATCAGGAAGTGCCTCAGTCAGTTTTTCCACCGTAATTTCATCGTGGTTGATTGTCAGCATTTCAAATGCACTAACAAACAAATTGTAAGTAACACTTAAATAGTGTTCAACATCCTTTAGAATAATACTTGGGGGCTGAGGTAGCAATATCTTAGATGAGGCAAAACTAACATATTTTTCAACCAAATTCAGAAGACAGATTTGAAGATAAATTGATAAAAATATGTCAACATCATCAAGTTTATTTATGAATCAAGTAATAAACACTAGCTATGTATTCCTTCCTCCTGAAAGCTAGATCCAATTATCAGAACCTTTCTATAACGTAAACTAAATAGTCGGCAAACATGCTTTTAATATATCTGGAAATAGCTTGGAAAGTTTAAGCACATGGTAGCATCACTCATGCAGTGGGGGTCCATCCTGCCCATTAGATAAACTTACCAGCTGGGATATACTAATTTTTACATGGATACCACTAGTGAACCTCATCCATTCTGAATAAGGTTAGGAGGTCCTGAGAAAACATATGCTCCTATTCTTACATAAGTTACAGTGTTTCCTTATAAGAGAGACAGCAAAATCATTGTAAGTAACTGTGACATACCTTTTTAATAGTGTCGCTTTTGACGTAGGCATGCGCAGCAACTCTCTCCAGTGTGTCGCAGGTTTAACAATAGATTTCAGGAGTTGAATTCCATCTGCAATATTCCTTTCCATTTTGCACATCTTATGGTATCTCTCTGAAGATACACAGCCTATTTCAAAACCTGGAAAATGTATAATGTTTAATGTCATTGCATTGCCGCTTGATTAAGATTCTTTGTTGAAGACGCAAAGTTAATTGGTGTTCTTTTCATGTATGTGTGCAATAATTTTGAGCAAATCATAACAGATTTTAATCAGTATGTTCGCATTTATATTCCCTTTTTTCACCACATCAAGCAGCTAATTCCAATTAGCTTTAGTCTTTGAATAGTTTAAAAAAAATAGTATCATTACTGAATCCATAGCTTTACAGATTATTAGGTCAACATACTTACGTACCTTTACCAGTGAGTCGAAGATCTGCATTATCGGGTCTCAGAAAAAGCCTAAATTCTGCTCTACTTGTAAACATTCTGTATGGTTCATTTGTTCCTTGCGTGGTCAGATCATCGATAAGAACGCCTATGTAGCCTTCTGTTCGTCCAATATGAAATTCTGGTTTGCCTTGTACCTGACGAGAGTGACATTAATTAAATATTTAACTTGTCAATATAAAGATCTGAAACACGGCTCAGTGGTCATGACTTCTGGTACATGTTTCGGAGGTCACGGCTCAAATGTTGGTCTAAAGACCGATTATACTGACTGACGTTTTCTGCGGTTACAGATAAAATAAACAAGATGAAGCGTCATCTTAGAAATTACTTCTGATGCTTAACACCTGTTACCTTTGCAGCAGCATTAATTCCAGCTACAATCCCTTGAGCTGCTGCCTCTTCATATCCTGTAGTGCCATTGATTTGCCCTGCAAAGAACAGGCAGCCGATTCGCTGTGTCTCCAACGTGGGATTCAGTTCCCGTGGATCCACGTAATCATATTCCACTCCATAACCTGGCCTAAGAACTGTAGTGTTCTCTAAACCTTTAATCTGTCTGATCATTTCAACTTGTAATTCCTCTGGAAGAGTACATGACAGGCCATTGGGATAAACTACATCACTTGTAAAGCCTTCTGGTTCTAACCAGATCTGATGATCCTTATCTCCAAACCTGAGTAGAAACAAAATGTACCATCTGTATAGAGTAATGTCATGGAAATATACATTATGGGTAGAATTCAGAACTGTAACATGGAGAGAGCCGATATATTTATAATCCTGTCTGCACATACCTCAGTGCTTTAGACTCAATGGATGGGCAGTACCTGGGACCTGTAATCCCTTCTGTAACATGTCTGTTCAGATGAAGATTATCTAAGATGAGTTTCCGAACAGATGAATTTGAAAATGTGAGGTGACACTTCAGCTGATCTTCTGCCTAAAAACAGCGAAAAACATTTTAAGACACCAATTATGTTTTAAAAGCATCATATCCCATATTCCACAAAACAAAATGAAATATCACATGTTAAGACCTATCCCAACCAGAATTACAGCGCCAGTTAAAGGCCTCTACATCAGGCATGTCGCATTCAGACTTACAGCTAGCATCACAACTTGAGAATGGCTGAATGGATTTTCATGGAATTTGATACTGGGGAATTTTATTAAAATTTGCTGACAAATTTCAATTTTGGTTAAATTTGAAAAAACACAATCGGCACATTACACGAAAACTTATGTGTTTCTGAGCATGAAAGTGACAAGTTCATCGGATATCCCATAAATGAAACCGAGTGGAAATGACTGGGCCAAGACCATGGCATTGCTCCTATGTTCATTATTTTGTATTATTAGCCCCTGAACTTGACAATTATAAACCCAATTTCATATTATTAGGAATTAACTAACACATATCAGCTTCACTGCCTAAGTTCAACATAGCTGCTATTAAAGTATGCTATCCATTTATAATTAATATTCACTGCATGTGAAAAAATCACAAATTTAGTAAATAAATTAAAAGGATATAACTTTTACCTTAATCCAGACTTCATCATTCATGAATGAAAATGGAATGGGTGGATCATCACCTTCTTGGACGACACAGACACTGTAGTCAATGTTGCGACCATCTAGCCGAGGTGGTGTACCTAGAAAATACAAGTGACACATTCTTTGGGAGATGGGGAAGCTGTGGAAGTGGTACATGTGTTGCATCTCCGTCAGCTATACTAATGAAAACTAAGAAGTTATATAAGAGGAACAAATTATTGAATAACACTTGCGGGTTGTTTCACTTCTTGTTATATTTATAAAAAGAGGTCAAGAAATGTTGACTCAGTTCACCAGACAGAAAAAATGCTATTCATCCAAAATGTTCCCTACAGGAGAGAAACCAAGCCTAGCCACAAAGTTTTTTGTGCTCTGTAGCAGGCTCCTTACTATCATGTAACACACAAGACGAACAGAATACTGTCTCTTATATGTTACAGACTTAATATTCAATATATATGTGGAGAAATAAAATAAGAGAAAATTCATGAAATAAACATTTTTTTCACTGAGTCTTGATGTTTCAGTCAACAAGGAAGAGCAGGATCAATAGGTTTGTTGAACCCTATTTGTAACTGTTATTCCACTGTCAAAGTTTAAGTTGAGAGCCTTAAGAAATGTTGTGCTACAAAATGCATATACCTTCTCTCTCTCTCTTCAGCTCTCAAAGTCTGCTTTGTTATGTACCTGTCTTGAGTCGTCCCATTCGGAAGTTCAAGCTTTCTAACGTGTTAGCTAATCCAATGGCTGGGGCATCCCCTATCCGTCCAGCAGGTCGAACATCTAAACCAATATTTATTTGACCCTTCAGAAATGTCCCTGTAGTAAGTATGACAGTTTTACCACCAACTTTGGTACCATCACCTGAAAAATCATTTCACAGAAAACATGGCGGTATGAAAACGAATAACACATTTCAGTTTTAAAAATGTTACAAATGTATGCATAAAATGGATATATAGTAGCAGGGAGGCTAGTATAATGAAACATAGGTATTGCTCAAAATTTTAAATGTTACAGATAAACCCTTAGAAATAATTATCTTGGGGTGGGGAAACTATTATGTTAAATTTGTTGAACATAACCTCAAAGATGGTTGTGTTCTGGAGTATTGTGCCGTGTAGACTGGTAAAAGTCAGAACTCTTGATGATGAAGGAAGTAAGCAAGCACCTCTAAAATGTTGGGTCAGTTTCTGCCAGACAGCATGGCACAACACCCCAGAATAGGTATTTCAAAATATGCATCAGAAAATTAAGAACACCTTTCACTCATTTTTATAGCTTTACACAAATGATGTGTTATACAAGCATATTAAGCTGTGGAAGGTTCCTTACTTAACACAACCCCACTGCACTGCCTGATAGTCTGGTCACTCTGAACACACATTGCCTCCTCCACAATCAGATCCTCTACAGATGCAACCATCACTTCCAAGTTTTGAGTATTTCTGAATAACTCCTGCTGTACATGTTGCTTATACAAAAGTCTGTCAATCTGTGCACGTGGTCCCCAAACAGCTGGTCCTTTTCTCTTGTTTAGAACCTAAAGGATAACAACAAAACTAAATAATTGTTTCATCATTAAAAAGTTTGTATTTACAATACTTTTGATATACTAAATCTGTTTCTTTATCTTTGAACCCTTATGGTAAGTAAAGATTGCTGGGAGATAACATCAGTCTTCACATGTTTTTCTCAGTCCTTCTGCATCTTATCTTATCTTCATCTTACTTGATGCTATATAACCTATTATCTGAAGTTTATAATCATGGAAGTTTGATTTTGACAGTTAAATTAGCACTAGAAAGGTTTTTATCCAAGTACCATTCATCATTAATGTGGGTGTGTCACAGGTATGACCAGCTGGCACATGGCACAAACTTTGTCCTTCATACGTGATGCAGCACTCATCTCGGCTCTCAGTACTGCAGTTCTATCCTATCCACTATATCTCACCTTATACTGAATTCCTGATAAGTCACACATTCGGCCACATATTCCATCAAGTGCATCCACTTCTCTCATGAGCTGGCCTTTTCCTATACCACCAAATGAAGGATTACATGACATTTCACCTATAACAATCATGACAGAGCAATTATAGGTACACGTAATTGGGAACATGTAGCAGGTGTTCATGTGAGATGTAACAATTGGACATTCCTATCAAGAGACAGCATAATCAATGTATATGACATGTAAATAATTAATATTTTCATTACATTTGGGTCCTCACTTTGGTCTTTGGTTGTGTTAGGTTAGGTTATTTAATTTTAATCTATTTTAGACAATAATAATATGATTAAAGAACTCACATTCTCAAATTTTTAAGGATAGGATATAATATTAAATAATACAACTCAATCAACAAAGTCAGTGGTGTGGATGGTTTGCATTTGTATGTTTTAGCTTCTTGCACTTACTTTCTTTCTTTCTCCTTACCTCTGTCAATATCCAGTTTCTTAGCATCACCAATAATACATATGTGTTTTAAATAATTTTAGGTTATGGTGCAATAATTCTGATAGTATGGCACATTTACTTTTATGTACATTTTTGCTTGTCAAATACAACTGTTTTCAATTCAATACTTTTGAATGGTGGGCCATTCTGAAACTTTGGATTACTTCTGTTCATCTTGGAGAAAGTCTGCACTCTCCAAACTGATTACATTTATCCAGTTTGGTAGCATTATAGTTTTAGGTAGTCATGTGGATGGAGCACTGAGGAAGAAAGGGCTGCTAAGAGGTTAAGAAGGTGAGACAATAGGATGGTCCAGATTTTACAGTTTTCTGCTTATAATTGTTCAACAAATCATTCACACAGGAAACAAAATATGGCCCTTTCCAGAATAAGAGTCCATCATTTCATTGAAATTCAAAATGGGGCTACTTAACGGTGCAGACTCACCTACTGTTTCTTTCTTGTGAGTTATGAGCAGAGTATGACAACCCATTCGGGCTGCAGCACTACAGGCTTCTGTTCCTGCATGACCGCCACCAACAACAATCACATCAAATTTGTGTTCAGGTTTAGAGTTCAGATGTAAGAAATCTCGCCTGATGGGGACGCGTGGAAATGACTTCCAACAGTTCCAAGATATTGCAGCAAGTGACATTCTTAAAGTTGCAAAGTTGTTTTCTTGCTTTATTCCAAGCACTTTTATAAACTGGAAATTATACTATTTAGGAATTCACTTGAATGTTCATATGAATAAGAGTTTTATTGAATATACATTTATTCAAACTTATTTATGTAAAATTCAGTTTTCAGTAAATTCAGAAATATATAATTGACATTTCATACATCACACAAGAAGAAAAGTCAGAGAAGGTAGTAAACACACTTCTACTCCATTTATGTACTTTTGTCTGTTGCCATGACTACTAAACTAGCCATCAGGAGCACCAATTCATCGCTTGCAACGAATGTTCAAGTTGCGTTATAATTTAGTGATGGATGTATGTGGTTTGGTTGGATTCACTGATAGAGAGATATATAAGTCAAATATACATTTATTTTAAAAGTATTACAGAACATCATTTATCTAGTAAGTCAACACATATGTATGGAGTATTTTAAATTATTTATCTATTAATATAAATGAACTGTCTTTGATAGCCGTTACAGCTTATATACCAAGGTCACAAGTACTCTTAGTGATTTCCGTGGAACAACGCGTAAAGAGTTCAGTTGGATGGTAGTGTTGTTTTGGTATGGGAGTGGGAACGCTTGATTGATCATCAACGTTATTGAAACACGTTTATAGAACATTCGTACATCAACAGAGGTCACCTGCAGGCGGAATCAAAGCGTATGGAGCTGTTTTCATTTTAAAGGTAAACGTATAACATTAATATTGTGTTCATTCCGCTTGTATGTAATGTGGTCCTCTATTGCATGTCACATCGAGGCTAATTATATTGTCACAGGAACATCTTCCCTAATTGCACATGCAGCATTTCATTAAGAAAGCGATATTTCAATGTCACTGATGTCTTATGTTGAAATGGCATTGACCGAGAAATACTACTAAATTGTCACGCTTATCGGATTTCAGTAGTTACCCTCATGTAGGGTGGTTTTATGTGTGTGGGTAGTATTTGTCATAATCATTTTGCAGCATAAGTCAGTGGCGTATGAGTTACTTAGCTTACATGTATAATTTATGCCATTAATGAATTTACATTAGTACCGGCTAATTTGTGATCACTGCTATGCAAGCTTTTTGATATGTGTAAACATATGGACCCAGTTAGCATATATTTACTTGTTCTTTACTCTCTTATTGTGAATATAAATAGAGTTGGGTATGTCAGTTACACAGAATGGTAAGGGTATCAAAACTTTGATGTGAATAATTTCTGTAGAACCTCTTCATAGTCCTCAGAGATAATCGGTCTGATCTTCACAAGTCCTTGATAATATTATGCTGAAGATGTGAAACAACGATAATGTAATTATTTCATATTTTGTAATAATGTAAGCAACTTTTCATCCATTTGTCTCAAATTGTTGGTTGGCCTCAGCTGAATTCTGTTTGTAGTATTTGGTTGGTCTATATCCAAAGCAGAAAGTTGTGGCTCGTTAAATTTAAACACAGAATGTGACATTCAAGATTAGTAACACGTTTTAGCATGACAAAAACAACTCTGGATTCCAAACAAATATTTTGTTTTCCCCAGAATTTTTGATGTTCTCTTTCCACAAAAAATGTCAGTTTTGAAACATAAATAGACGCTTCAAAATAAATTGCTCTGAGCAGTTCTGACTTTGTGTCTTACAATTTTTTTTATTGACAAGGATTTTTTTAGCCCAACAAAGTAACCCAACTGTGATCATGAGTGCTGTTGCATGCTAATTGGTATCGTTAGTACCCATTGTTTAAAAATTGGACATATGGATTTTGTTTGATGTATTTGCCATGAAAGTAGCAACAAAAGCATGGTAATATGCATTTTTTACACTTTATATAAACTGAAACTTGTACCAGACTGCATGGTACTACAACCCAGAAGACAGCCATCTTCATGTAACCTTATCTTTGGCATTACATATTTATGGAGGAAAATGGTAAGCTCTTTAAAAGAAAAAAGCTGCGTTAGTGGTTTGTGCAAGCAATTTTTTGAAAAATAGGATTTATTAATTAAGAAGATCTGTAATATGGAATAACAAGAATTATAATTGAAATGTTAATTTGTTCTTAGGGAGATAGAAAGAGAGAGATAGATGTCACATTTTCTCATAAATAATAAAGAATTAACTGTCCTCTATTTATGAGCCGGGATAGCTCAGTCAGTATAGTGACTAGCTACGAGCTGGACAACTGGGGTTACGGTTTTATGTTAACAATTACTAATATAGCAGTGATGCAAACCTTGGGATGCATTTCATATTGCCTTGTATTACTCTCTCTCTCTCTCTCTCTCTCTCTCTCAAATTCCTAAGATTCCATGTATGACAGAAGAACATGATAGGAATGAAGTAATTTTATTTTGCCTTTAATGCTCATATATTATGAGCAAGACCACCATTTTGCTGAAAGGAGAACAAATTACTGAATTCAATCCTGCGTGCGTTGTATCTGGTTCTGTCCTGCGGGGATGCGAGGAAACTCGGTTTATTTTGACAATCGTAAGAAACACGTAAATACACCTAGTGAGACGTAGGCGGAGTTATCGAATCTTAACGTATACATCTCAGGTTTATACTCTGGAAGAATGTTTTGAAAACATGTCAGTGTAGTCGGTCCGGAACTTAAAACATGAAGGTTCCTTATTTCGGTTTCATATGAATGTACGAGTAGTGCAGTGTGGAGGGTGCGTGACTCAAAACAATAGCGGTCGTACTAATTATGGGAAGGTTTATGTGGGTTAAAGCACAAGGCAGGTATAATGACGGAGGTTATTAACTTGCCTTACTGCGTCAGATTATTTGCCCCGGAATATATTAACGTAACGGCTGGGGTACATTATGTTTGTCTTGCGTTTGGCTGAGGAACATAGCCAATTCAGTAGGGACAATACAATATTTCTGTTTTAAAGTTTGCTAACCAGTTTCGTTTAAAATTATAAGTAATCTAGAGGGGGTGAACGCACAGAGAATCCATAAATCACTGTAAGGGGGTGGGATACTGCAGAAAGTTGCGAGTTCCAGATCGGGCAGTTTTTCCGTATCCTCACCCCTTCCGAAAGCAGTGATTTGTGAATCTGGGGTATTCAGTACCTCCGCCGTGGTTTGGGGCCCACATTAAATCTCTACGTTACTGTCTTCTTATCGTCGTTAGAGGTAAATTGGGGTGCTCCAATAAAAAAAGAAGTGGATTCATACAGTTACCTTCGCCAGGCTGGCAGGATAGCGAAATTTCAGGGTCTGCCAGCGTTATCTTTTATGTTTCGGAGGTGCTTTCTTCCTCCATCATCATGGTGATCGCCCTGATGGAGGCAGTCAGAGCACCTCTGAAAAGCTGGTAATTTTTACGAGGTCACATTCAGAATGGTCAAAGATAATTTTCCAGGCTAAAATTTAGTCATCAGAATCAACTTGATGTTGGTCTTACTGCAGCTGTTTAGGAAGGCAGTATTTTAACATTCGTTCGGAATCAATATCCCATGATTTGCTGTACCAGAAATAGTCCCCTAATACGTCTACTGTATTTTTATACACCTGCTCGTCATAAGATGACACTAGTGTTGAAGTAGTCATCGAAAAATAGACAATAGTGAATGGAATGTAATCTCATGTCAGGCAGAATGTGCGACGTGACGTATGAGAAGGTATAAACTATAAAATTTCGCAAGTCAGAAAACCAATGTTATGTGGGACTGTTGAAATGGTTTCCGAAGATGAGGGTATAAAGGAACGAGCATCTGATATGTGAAGTATTGACAGTTCTTGCTTTGTGGAAGTGAAGCGGATTGAAAGGGCCAGATGAAACCTGTTGAAATGGCATTTGTAATAAGTGCTGTGAAGACGTGGGGGCCTATATTTTTTTATGGCTGAAGAATCAGTACGTTACACGCTACCTACACGTATTTACTGTAATAGACTACGTGGACAGAATTGGTCCCGAAATACAATTTAACGTTTATACAGAATTTCAGAAGATAAATTGTAAGAATTGTCTTCTGGGAGGAGGATATGGTAAATGACGGACTGAAGCTGGAAGTTTCTTGAAAGTCAGGGGAAGAAGAATATATTTTATTTCTACAACATAATGGAAAACTTGTCATAAATCTCCGATGAAACAAGGTAACTAATGTTGGATAAAAGTAAAGCTGTCCGTGTCGTAGGATGATGGCGTATAGGGCCTAAGATGCTCCGTGTATTATTGCGATATTGGATTTTGTTACCCTTGAGGAAAGAGCTTCTTCCTGTATCCACTTGATATGAGGCTGTCGGGAAGCCGAGGGTCATTTTCTGAACGCGACGATGAAGCAAGAGGTCCTTACACCCTTGCCGGAAATTGAACGCCAGACTTCCTATCAGTAGCTAAATCCTTTTAGTGAGACAACATGGCTCGTCCGTGAAAGAGTGATTGAAAGTCAAAATTTGGTTTGAATTAAACTGAACTGCTCTCTGAATCACGTGGGGGGGGATAAAAAATTTCATCAGCATTTGCTCGAGATCCTTATCTGGGAAGTACAAAGTATGAAAGGCCATCGCTGGTAACATAACATGACCTTTGATCGTATCTGTAGCCAGTTACAGAACTGATGCTGATCACAGCAGATCGTCAGGCTGTGGTGCTTTATAGATCGGTGCCGTGCCGTGTTTCAAAAACTGCTGATCCCAAGAAAGTTTCCTGTTTGATTTAAAGCGATGTTGCGGATTTACGGTCAAGATAGCTGTTCCATAATGTAATCTTACTACAGCCGCTGGGAAGAAATTGGAGAGAGACTTTCTGATAGGTCCGCCATATAAGCTGACCTAAAAGAAATTGCGTGAGACGGGAAGTAGATACGAGCTGGGCTTGTCGCATTACATTCTCCCTTACTGAGTTTATTTATGATGTAACTGATATTTCGTTATATTTGCTGTATGATACAGATATAAGAAATTGCATAATTTCAATCTGAGATTGTCCTGTGACGGATGTCTGTACTTCGTCTTATTCCTGCATTTTCGTAATCTAGTTTCAATACTCTGAAGCCCATTTAGAGATTCTAAAGTTAAATTGATCTTTTAATCCAATAGGTTAGTCTTTGTATATCTTTTCGCTCTAGGGTAATGTGTGTGTGGCTTTCTAGGAATCCTTTCTCTTCAGTTTTGACTACTGTCGGTTTGTCTGGCATCAAGACAGATATTCTTAAACGAGAAATACATCAAAATTGTAGTTCGGTA